TAAGGACTATGTCAGAGTGAAAAATGAGCAGGGGTAGCTCAAGCAGTCTGTTACGATCCAGATCTTCAAAAACATTTTGTGTTACTGAAATAATGTGTGGTTAATCAGAATGACGAGGTTTCTTGTCCCTTTTTTTTAAGACTAGCTCCAGCCCAACCATGCTGCCACATGCTTTTTTACTCACAAAAGCCTGTTCCCTGCCCATTTTTTTCACTTCCACCTTTGTTGTTGTTCCCCATTTTGCTCTTACAAACTGATCACATCCTGGCTGTATGCTGTGCTTCAGGGCTCAGCCAGCCTGACTTCCACTGGCTGAACGGAGCGCACCAAAAGGTTAAAAGAGCAGACTGAGGCAGTCCACCCCAGTTGCTGACTGTCATTTTCCCCCTTCCGAATCTTTAAATAATAAACGAAACAACCAATAAAAATTATGCAAACACCTGTGATGATGGCATGGGATTTTAGGGTACCATAGTAACTTTTGCATAATAATCCAAATGTAAATGTCATACATTCAGTTTTTCAAATAAAAATCTAGTTCACATAACTCCTAGTTCAGATTTCCTCCTTTATGATTTGTTTAAAAGTGAAAATATTTACTCCTTAAAATTATACCTAGACAACATAATAATACTTTTAGGGAAGAGTATACTACTGCTACTTTTTTTGTATTGAATTCCCTTAGCTTGTGGTCCTGTATCTAAGCATCTTCCTTCAGAGGAAGTACCTCCCAAAACACTTTGCTAACGGTGTTAGCTCTCCTCCTCAAACACAGGCACATATATATACATATGTAAAAACAGAAGAATCATTACAACAATAATGAACTTTCCCTTCCAGGTAAAGCCCTAAAACTTGTCTTTCTGTCAATTCACAAAAGCATCCTAAATACTAGTGGTTACCATTTTCCTCCTCCTTGCAACCCTCACAGCTTAACAATTTCAGTTGGAAAAACACACTTCACCCATACAGACTTTGACAGCAGCTAAACCCATCACTTTGAAGCACTACATCTCCCCTGAATAATACAAACAAAAAGACATGTCCGTGAAGCCTAGTAAACTGAACACTCTCGGGATTATTTCCTGGCCCCGTGTCATCTGGTCTGTGCTAATTCATGGAGCGCGACCAGGAACTGCTCGGCAGAGCGCGAGGCTGCGTGGGCCAAGAACGTGCCAGGGAGCATGCTGACAATTTAGCAATTGGATGCCCCTGAGAGTCACGTTCCAGCGCCTGGGAACGGCTGGGATCCCACAGCCATGGGTCGGGAAGCGTGCCAAGCAGTACGCAGCAAACAGGGTGCACACACACACGTGCCAAGCAGTACGCAGCAAACAGGGTGTGCACACACGGTTGCTTAGCGTGCCTCCTATGGGCCGTTATGTGAAGAAGGTTTTACAGAAATGTGTAAGATCTAGACGTATGGCATATGCATAAATACAGTATTTGTATGTTTTCTTTTCTGTTACA